TTTAGCTGTTTTTCTTGCATTTGATGGGTTCAATTACTTTATATGTGTTTTAGTTCAAGATATAGCTTTCTCCTGCTGTTACACCATAAGTTATGTTGTACTTTTAAAGTGTGTTTGTTGGCAAAGTACCCAGTTTTCTTCACATTGAGACAAGAAATGGAAAATCCCACACCAAATATTACTTCCGCATAAGCTAGCTTAATTTTTATCCTTTTTGTATTTGCTACTAGATTGGGCTTGTTTACTTTCATATTATAAAATTTTTTATTAGGCGAAAAACTGTTCACATGAGATTCATCTGAAGAAAGAAAATATCTGTTTTTTGTGAGGGCATGTATGGATTGAGGATTTTGGGTTCAAGGGAATGCGATGACTGAAATAATTTTTTTGTAATTATGTTTACGTTTTGAAGGTAGAAAGTGAAGTGAAGATAAAAAAACTGTATAGACATACATTATCTAATTTATTATACAATCCATAGTTATTTTTAATCTAAGTCTAAGAAATACAGATAATTGCGAAATTTAAATCAATCCTTTCCCTTTGTTCCGAAATCCCAAAACCAAACAAACCCTAATATTGCTTCTTGGGATTGCACAGTTGCTTTTCATTGTGAAGTCCATTTGATTTGGATTTTGCATATAGTTTTACAATTATTTGGGTGTTCCAAACAGAGCCTTAGCGTTAATCTCTGAATGAATATTTGAGTTCATTGTGCAGATTCAACTGATAAGAATTCAGATGAGAGTGCCCGGGTATGGATGGACAATACAAAAGGTTTTTCATCTCATGAACTGCATCGTAAATGGAGGTGAAGTATAGCGTTAACATATTTTGACCTATTCTATTGCTGTAGTTTAATTTTTTTCTCTATGTTTCAGTCCGTGCTGTTGTCTTCGGTTTTCACAAAAAAGCATTTCTTTTCCATCCCAAGGTAATTGATCCCCCCCCCCACAAAAGATCTCTCAAATTTCTATACAATTAATATTGATGTTATCTTTTCTTTTTATCAAGTCATTGGGTACTTCATAGCATATATTCCCTACATTAGTCATACTTAATCATGTTCTTGGTTTAACCAAGGAAGGAATATGATTTTGTATTCAAGTTACATATAACATAGCTTTCCAATTTTAAATAACGTTTCTTTATGATAGGAAAAGAGTTGGACATTCCTGGCATGAATACTCCATAACTTTGTCTATTTGACTTACTATTTCAATCAGGTGCTAACTATTGCACTATTAGACGTTCCTGGATTGCTTTTCTTCTCCACATATACACTTCTGGTCCTGTTTTGGGCTGAGATCTATCACCAGGCTAGAAGTTTGCCAACTGATAAGCTCAAAACCTTTTATGTATCAATAAATGCTGGAATATACGTCATACAGTCTGGTATATGGGTGTATCTCTGGTTTAATGATAATAGTGCCATGCGTGTAATTGGGAATATCTTTATAGCAGGTATGTTTTTACAGTTTTTTACACCACTTTTTGTGTCTTGCTAGTTGCTTGATATATTTGTTTCGTACCTTTTTACCATGTGCAGTTGTTTCATCAGTTGCAGCATTGGGGTTTTTGCTCTATGGGGGAAGGTGAGTAACTGGAGCAGCCTTTCAGAGTCACATTTTTTATCGTATTGGGGGTTTAAGATCAGTTATTACTTATATAATAATCAATTTGTTCCTCTGGGTTTAATTTGTTGGTGGTGTAAGGCTTTTTTTCATGTTGAGACGCTTCCCTATTGAATCCAAAGGAAGAAGAAAGAAGCTTCATGAGGTTTGTCCACATACAGTCACATTTATTATATAATTATATTGCATATTTGCATGACTGCTATGGAAATCTCATTAATGGCATTGGTTTAATATGTTATGTCATTCACATTGTTCAAAACTTCAAATATAAAAATACAAACAAATCTATGGGCTAGTTTATCTAGGACATGACTCCAAATAGTAAAATGGGATTAAGCTTCATAAGCTTCAACTAGCAATTCAATTTTGGTAAGTCAGCATGAAATCTCAAGTCTAAATATGGTGTCGGATATTCAGATATAATTGAGTAGAAACATGCCATAGTCTTAATATGGTATCAAGGTACATTACTAAGCTTAAATTAGCAACTGATTCTACCAAGGCTTCAAAAGAGTTCATGGATTTTCAAGATCAGTCTGCTTTTGTAAATCACTGTCTTGCGGGAATGTGAGGCTTCTTGTTTTGCCCAAATGTAAACATTCAAAGGCATCAACTACTCTTCATATAAGGTTGTGCTTTTAGAACAAAACATCAATTTAATATAATATTGAAATTGCCCTATATTAAATTATATCCCCCAATGTTCATAATTACGGGGTCACCGCCACCGTGTGTTTTGATAAATGATTTGCAGGTTGGATCTGTGACAGCCATATGTTTTACCTGTTTTGTGATAAGATGCTTTGTGGTAAGGCTTCAAACATAGTCTAACTTTCTTCTTCTCGGCATAACCTTTTAATTCTTTCTAATATTCCATTATTCCCTAAGTTGCATTTAATCAATTTTTGTTGAATGAATATTTTTTATTAGTCTCAAGCTTTCCTCTTAATCTTGCCATGGCAGGTTGTGTTGTCTACATTTGACTCTGATGCATCACTTGATGTTCTGGACCACCCAATGTTGAACTTGATATATTACCTGGTAATTATCCAAATCAGTTGTTCTTCTATGTTCTTCCATGTCATATTCACTCTTATCCCTCTGATTTGTGATAGTTGCATTATTTGTGCTGATGATGCTCCTATTATGGATAACTAAATAAATATTTAGGTGGTGGAGATTCTGCCTTCAGCTCTGGTTCTCTATATCCTGCGCAAACTGCCTCCGAAGCGAGTCTCAGCCCAGTACCACCCTATTCGTTAGTCAAAGAGTTGCTGTTGCCTTTTTTGTCTTCTAAAAAACAAAGTGAGATGTGCAACTGCAGAGAAGGAGAATGGGGGTGATGAAGTTGTCTGTTTCGCTGGGAAAAGTTGATCTTGAGCCAATGTGTTCCACTCAGTTCATTTTTTTTTATATTTTGTAGGGGAATATGTTTGTTGTGAATTGTGATGTATGGAAATATTAGAAGTTAGATGATAGTGTGAATTTAGTGTACTGTTTCTAAGAAGTGGCACCTAGACAAGGCATTATGTACCGTCTTGGGGTGCCAGTTCTTTAATGGATTGTTAAAGTAATCGCCCTTACTAGGAGTAAAATATACTCTGTATTACACATAAACCTTTTCTCTGAATAGGAGTCCATCCTAATTATTTTCCTAAATAGGACTAAAAGTTAATATTCTACCCTTAAGGCCTTAATGCACCTCATCTAATTAATTAATATAATTAATTATTCCCTTAGTTTCCTTGCATAACCGTGTTAGTTTGTTGGTGCTAGCGGCGGAAGTCCGATGATTGTCAGTGGTGACGGCCAATTCATTTTGTAAATTTTTGGTATATTTCGGACTTCGGGAGTTCCGGTGGCTGGTGATTGGTGGCAACTCTAGCAGCAACTCTGGTGGGGTATCTTTGTCCAAGCAAGAATATTCCTATTTGGAGAATTTTAAAATCTACTCCTCTTTTTGCATTTCCTCTATATCTTACAAGAAAAATGGTTGGTAAAATAACATATAACATATAGAAAGGAAATAAATATTGGAGTTCTGTCACTTGTGTGTCGATATATTTACCTCCAGTCCTGCCAATAACTTCAGCAAAATAAGTGAAACACAAGCAGTCAAGCACGAACCAATTTTTAGTCTCTTTGGTAAAAATGGTTTCATCTACATTAATTAGATTGAATTTGCTAAAATTGTTAAAGTAATGGTTGAATAAGTTAAGATGAAAAATATCAATTAATGTATATTTTTACCATTGATGTAATAAAATTTTCAATGCAAGACTGGTAATTTATTAGTCAAGGACCATAAAACTAAGAGTATATGACCCGAATGACTAAAACCATTCATCTACGTCTTATATTTACGTTCTTTAGATTTGAACCATTTAATATGTTAAAATTCTAATTTCAGCAAAAGAAGATAAATAATTAAATGAAAACATTAACATTAAAGTATAGATTGGAAAGTATATCAGACCTTTGAGCCCTAAATCAATAGTTTTATATTTCAAATCCTTGATTGAAAGCTAACATATTTTTCAATATTGATCAAAAAGTAATAATAAATCAAAAAGTCTATTCTTCAACAACACTCTTAAACTACCCTACTGCTACCACAATCTTACCAACAAGCCCTCCACTTCTTGCAGCTTCAACTGTAAAAAGAACTTGACAAAGCACTTACCAATCTTCAAGCCTGTTAGGTAACGGGTTTTTGGCAGGTAATCTTGAATTTCCTTGAAGTACAAGTTGTGAGGAATGAATTACTCAAAAGAATAATTAATACATATTTTACTGATAAATAATGAAAGCAAACATAGAAAAAGTTTGAACTAATCCACCTCTACAACTCAAGTATAAAAAAGAACAGTCTAAACGACTAAAACTAACCAATTTAGTGTGCACAATCAAATACATTTTGGTAGCCAAAAAAAGGGGTAACAACGGCCATATATTCTGCCGATGAGGGGTATAAGCAGATTAGGTCAATTAGTGCTACCAAATAGGACCTTAATAGCGAGACAAACTCTCACGAATGAGATAATCTATATTGTTTTCTACCAAACATCCATGTAAAATAACATTTACATAAGCAGGGGCGGGGGGGTTAAATTCGTACATCAAACTCAGAGACTTTTATGAATGAAATCATTTAATTGTGTTGATCATCTTCTTCCAATGGAGGAGCAGCAAAACGGACATCAGCTGGCCGGGCCATTACGACTGGTTCTTCTGCAAACAATGATCTGATGAAGGAAGGTGTTCTCAATGGTCGACGTCCTGTCATCCGTGGATAAACATCCTCCAGAAAATAGTAAGCATGGCCTGCAATCATACCCTGACCATAACAAACAGTCAAACAGAGTAATTGTAGGTGTGAGTGGATTGAAATCAACAGAAAAACTCACAAATAACTAAAGAAAAAGAAGAGGAAAGGAAGCTCTCCAGCCATATACCAAACAGCACAACAAAAATATGAAGATCTGGAAGATGTTATAATTGTATTTATCTAAGAACGGGTAACAGCTAGTATTCTATATTTGACATAAACCAAAGCCTATGTATAAGTAGAAGTAGAAAGTCATTAGAATAATTTCAAAGCAGCTAAGTGTATATTGTCACAAACATAAGTACTACATTTGACAAAATTAAAATGCGTAGTAGTATACCAATAGATCCACCCAAGCACTAGCACCAACAAGAACAGAAAAGCCCAAAAGCACCTGCAGCACAAAGAAAAGATCCAACTCATTCATTCATCTATTCATTTTACAGCACAATCACAACACTAAAACAGATGCCTGCATTTATAGTGTATGTGTGAGACTACTTTTGCAAGGATAAACTAAATTAAAATGTGTTCCTCTCTAGACCATAAAACCTAACCAGTAGGCAGTGTATAGTGTATACATTGAAATGTATTAATTTCCAAGCACAAAGTTTAAGAGGTCCAGAATTACAAGAAACAAAGTAAGCATAGCATGACTATAGACAGAAATAACATAAAATTATGTTCAGACATTCAAGGTTTATTTGGAAGAAATTTCTGAACATGCTGAATTTTCTGAAACGAAAAGCATTTGGTAACATAGCATTTGCTTGTTATGATTATTCGGCTGAGTGCAGATAGGCATAATAAGGCCCTTTTGGTCCCAAAACATAGCCTACACAGCTTAAACCTACAGATGTATATTGCTCATGCGGTCTAATACTAGGCGAAAAGGTAAAAGTCGGTAACTGACCCATGGAAGATAAGCAGCCGTGAAAGTAAAGAGACCCAAAAAGCTCATGTGGATGAAGGGATTTTGCTTGCTCCAAACATATACCTAATATTAAATAAAGGTAAACAGCACGTGAAGAATTAAAACTGCCTAAAAAGAAAAGCCACAAAATAGCAAGAAGGCATACTTTGATGCAAAACTAAACAACAAAACTCACCATCATAAATGTTAGGGAATTGCTCAGAAAAATGATCTTTGCAAATGATTCCGAGACGTACGGTATCATTCCACCAATAAGAACAATTCCAGTCAACACAGTGGCTCCAAACAAGAGCATGTAAAAGAAATCTGCAGTTTTCCCCCTAAAAGTGTTCTCCTCCAGAAGCTTGCAGTATCGTGCCAGGAAAAACATGTGAAACAAGAAGTCCAAATCTGTTAACAAACAGAGTTAGTACAACATTATGCATAGAAGGTAATAGAGCACTCTTTATACTTGAAAAAATCTTGAACTGCTTTATATTTTAGTAGGATTAATTACTAATTGATCATCAGGGAAGATCATTACCCATTTTCCGGAAGTAGAGAAAGTTAGTAATAAGGCGCCAGAACTGATAATGCTTCACCACCAGTTTAGGATTCAAGTACAAGTTGTAAGGAGATATAATCTGCAAAAAAACAACATCCCCAGCTCCAATTGTAAACTCTAACTATAAATTCAATCTTTTGGGAAAAGGCCACATCACAAAAGCCGAAATACATAAACCGCATGTAAAATAACACCAAATCCAAACACCTTGCCAAAGAAAATTACAACCGAGGCATTTCGTATACAGATAGATTGAGCAAGGCATGGAATAAACCTCTAAGGAACAGCCGATTGTGGTGACTATGGCAGCGGTGAGGTAGGAGCGGGTGATAATTGGCATCTGTTTGTACCATTCTTCAACAGCTTGCGCCATTTTCCTCGAATTATTTCCGTTTTCCCAAATATTACTAACCTCCGGCGAGAAAATTTCAGAAAGTCTTCACAGAAAGCAAGGAAGAATTGCGATTTCAAGAACACAGTATGACTCTCGATGTAATGCACACGGATTAGATGTAAGGAGATCTCAATTCTGCGTATGTTTCTGTATCATAATCATAATCATAAATGAAGATAGAATGTGGGCGGATTAGCTTGAGAAGTAATGAAGGCTTCTTTCGATATGCACGAGAGGCGAAAGCGCGTGAGCACCGAACGAAAAAGAAGAGACTGTGACGAGCATTAACCAATTAGAATACTGCGTGGCGTTAAAACGTAGTGTTGGCGAATTATTGGGTGCAGTGGGAGTACGATATGGACGCTAGGGCTGGGCACGGGCCGGGTCGGGGCGGGGTAATGCAAAATAAAATGGAACCGCCGGTTCCATTATACGGTCCGGTCCGGTCCGGGTATTGCAATTTTCAAAACAGGAACCGGACCTTACCCGGCCCGTTTAAAACGGGTCGGTCCGGGCCGGGTTTTTCGGTTCCTATTTTCCATATCTTTCATCGAGCAATAGAATGATTAATTATCTCAGAGTAATACCAAACACCTTAATTCAATATATTTGTTACTTTAATATTCCTACCAATTTATAATATTACGTACTATATGGCTGGCTATATGCCATCATTTGTCCCAGAGCCATAGCTAGTCAAACAAGTTTTTCTGTATTCTAATTACCTTATCTCAAACTAAGGTTATGTTACCTTCATTAATCTTACCTCAGTTGACCTCTTCCCAGTTTACACACATACCCTAAAATGCAAAAATGAAGAGAAGATGAAGACTTACCTGAAGCTGAATCAGTTAGTTTTCAATTTTTTAGCTAACATTTCAATTCAAAAATACAATAAAACAGAACCCAAACCGGTTTAGACCTAAACCCAGTTCCTAACTAGATATAGGTGTACTTTTAGTGACTTCACCATATAGGGCAGAGAAATTGATCGAGAGACCAAGTTATTTGCTACTGCCTAATGTCTATTAGCTATGGGGGTGGCCGTATGTATGTAAAAAATTTCACAGATTAAAAAACGGGATCCGAAAGGAATTCTTCATACCTGCTAGAGTGCTAGACTATTAAGCTGCAACCGTTTGCGACAGCGAGACAACTATATCCGTATGAAGAGACTTGGCCATATGAAGACGCTGCGAGCAGCTGCTATGATGAAGTCGCTGATCGATCGCAGGCGGATGAACTTCTGAAGGCTTGAAGTCGTTAATCGACCGCTAGCTGGTGTAGGAGATAGTCGCTTGAGAGACGATATCAGTCTAATACTCTAATGGGCTAAGTAACCTACGCTGACAGAGGCCCAAGTATTAAAAAATTACTATATAGTATATATATAACGGGCCGGGCCGGGTACCCGTTTTTTTTATATTTTGGAACCGGCCCGGGTCCTTAAAAAAAATTACCCGGCCCGGACCGACCCGTTTTCTTGCAAGAAAATA